TGCTTGTGGTATAAGCTTGTGAGGCCAATGAGGGGTAGAAGCAGGGGAAACAGCAACACATATCAGCCATGAGAAATGCAACAATGGCAGGTGCAGGACCCGAGAGTTGGGCGTGAGAGCAGGTGCCGTGGCTGCAACGAGCAGCTAGACAGCACGGCTCAGCACCTCCGGGGGCGTGCCTGCTACAGGCAGCAGTTGCAGTGATGGCAGATAGAGCCACAGTGACCTCAGCCACGGCAGGTGCAGCAGCGACAGGTGCAGGACCCGGCAGGTGGGCGTGAGAGCAGGCGCTGTGGCTGCAACGAGCAGCTGGACAGCACCGCTCAGCACCGCCGGGGGCGTGCCTGCTACAGGCAACGGCTGCAAATGCCCGACTTGCTTCTGCCACCCCCTCAGCCTCTCTCCCCCCCCCCCTCCCCACAGTGACAAGCCCTGCAGGGAGAGAGAAAGGAGGACAAGCTCTGCTGGCGGCGTAGCTGCTGGCGGGGTCTCTGCTGGCGGTGTAGCTGCTGGCGGTGTCTCTCTGCTGGCGGTGTAGCTGCTGGCGGGGTCTCTGCTGGCGGTGTAGCTGCTGGCGGGGTCTCTCTGCTGCGGTGTAGCTGCTGGCGGGGTCTCTCTGCTGGCGGTGTAGCTGCTGGCGGGGTCTCTCTGCTGGCGGTGTAGCTGCTGGCGGGGTCTCTCTGCTGGCGGTGTAGCTGCTGGCGGGGTCTCTCTGCTGGCGGTGTAGCTGCTGGCGGGGTCTCTGCTGGCGGTGTAGCTGCTGGCGGGGTCTCTCTGCTGGCGGTGTAGGTGCTGGCGGGGTCTCTGCTGGCGGTGTAGCTGCTGGCGGTGTCTCTCTGCTGGTGGGGTCTCTCTGCTGGCGGTGTAGCTGCTGGCGGGGTCTCTGCTGGCGGTGACTCTCTGCAGGCAGCTGGCGGCGGGCGCGTTCGGCTTCCCCCCCACCCCACCACCTCCCCCACCACAGCGAAAGTCGCGGGTGGGGCGTGGCAGGGCGGTGGGCAGGGCACGGACACGTCGGGTCAGTTGGCGGGCAGCTGAAAACGTCCCGCTGCCACCCCATTTTCCCCCGTCCTTCCCCCCAGCACCTCCCTTCACGGCGGCGGCGGCTTACGCACGCGCAGCTGGCGACGGCGTGGTCGGCGGGCAGGTGTGGCACAAGAGCGGGCGAGCGAGCGGGCGGGCGGACGAGCGACGGGCAGACAAGGCGACGGACGGCGGTGAGACAGGGGTGGGCGACGACCGACGAGGCAGGTGACGGGACGTGACGTGACGGGCGGCAGCGCAACGGGACGGGCGACGGTCGACGAGGCGGATGACGGGCGGCAGCGCGACGGGACGGGCGACGGGCTGCAGCAGCGGGTAGCGCGGGCCGACGAGCTGCAGCAGGGCAGCGCGACGAGCTGATCGTCGTGGCGCTCACGATGCGCACTACGGGCTGCGCGACGGGATGCGCCACGACGAGGGCTAGTGGTGGGCCCATGTAAAGCGAACGGTCCTAAATCGGACCTAGCTCTAATACCATGTTACGATGTGATCTTAACTGATAACCGGATTTAAGGAGGGCCTAGGCTTAGTAGCCTAGGCCAAGCAAGTGTCGAGGTCAAGGCCAAGGGAGGATCGAGAGAGTTGACCAAAGAAGTGGCTGCCAGGAACTCTAGCTCAAACTGCTTGTCCTCTAGGGCGTCACAGCCAAGGGCAAACTCACCCCCGACGGCCAGAGGACTAGTAGGAGGAGCAGCCACAAGACTGGTGGCGTAGTCAAGGCGGCGAGTAGAGGCAAACTCAGTGACTGCGGCAGTAAGAGCGGAGACAGAGGACAGAGAAGCACGTGGGTCGGTAACAAGAGAGGCGAGAACACGAGAGAGAACAGGACGGTACGTGCGGTAGTAGTCCGTGACAGGAGTAGAGAGGGAAGAAGTGAGAGCCGACTCAGGAGGAGAAGGAAGTACAGAAGGAGACGAACGAGGCGGACTAGAACAAAACAGGGCAGTACGAAGGTCTGAGAGAGGGACAGGGGACGAGGGACGAGCACGAGGAGAGCGAGAAGTCCAAGCGTGAGAAAGAGGAGGGGACAACGGAGGCTGAGAACGAGGGAAAACAGCTGGAGTGGGGTCAGGAGGAGGAAACGTGGGACCGTGGACAGGAGGAGAGGGAGAGGGGGGAGGAGAGGGAGAGGGGAGACCGAGGGTCCGAAGACCAGAGACAGGAGGAGGAGGCGGCGGCTGCTGCTGCTCCTGCTGCTGCGGCTGCTGCTGCGGCTGCTCCTGCTCCGGCTGCTGCTGCTGCTGCTGCTGCTGCTGCTGCTCCGGCTGCTGCTGCTGCGGCTCCTCCAGCCGCTGTAGCTCCAGCTGCTGCCGCTCCAACTCTCTCTCCTCTCGCTCCAACTCCAGCTGCTCCTCACGGGCACGGCGAACACGGGCCTGGTGCCGGGTCGGGTAGGGGTGGGGGGGAGGAGTAGTGTCCGGAGCAGTGGTAGCCCTAGGACCGCCCTCCAAAGAACCAGTCACACCACCCCCAGAGCCAGCACCACCAGCAGCAACACGGCCAGTCCCAGACTCTCCTGGTCCCATAGGGGGTGCACCCGCACCCCCAGTCGTAGCACCCGCAGGGACAGCGCGACGAGCACCAGCTCCCTGAAGACTAGAACCTCCTGCAGACTCGGGCTCAGCTCCAACGCCAGCACCCCCGGCACCAGAACCTCGTGGAGGCACACTCTCAGCTCCAACTCCAACCCCTCCAGAGGTAGCACCCCCAGGGTCCTGGACCGCAGGGTCTGCAGTAGGCTGTGAGGAGGACTGTGGGGAAGGGGATGGCACCTGAGGGGCTACCGAGGGGGGAGGGGTAGCGTGTGACACACCTGACGGGGCTGGACCAGGGGGGGGGGGTTGTACCGGAGGGGCAGGAGGGGCGGCGGGAGTCAGGAAGAGAGGGGGAGGAGGAACCGAAAGACCTCGACAGGGGTACCGGGTGTAGTAGGGGACTGACTCGACAAAACGAACGTCGCGGGAGTCAAAGAACAGGTGAAGGGGAGGGTGGTAAAAGGTGAAGTCAGAGGAGTCCACGGGGAAACCAAGGAAGACACAGGGAAGGGCGCAAGGGGAGAGCTTATCCGCGGAGGTGTCGCGAACAAGCGCCAAGCAGCCCCAGACACGTAAACACGACGCAGCACCAGGGGACCCGGTCCAAAGACTGGTCGGTGAAGCCTCTGGCCGAGAGACACGTGGCCAGAGGTTCAGCTGGTGAGCGGCGTACCGAACCGCGCAGGGCCACAGAAAATGGGGCGCACGGGCGTGGATCATGGAGGTGCGTGCAATCTCCATGACCAAGCCTATGCGGCGCTCAGCAACCCCATTCTGCTGTGGGGACTCTGGAAGCGTCGAGGACTGACGGATGCCCTGCTCGCGACAGAATCCAGCGAGAATGCCGGAGCGAAACTCACCCCCACGGTCGGAGTGAAGACACCTGACACGACGACCACGAGTGTCCGCAGTGGTAAGTAACCACTGGTTCAGCGTAGAAGTCACCCCAGACTTCTTCGCCAGGGGGAACACTGTGGTGTAGCGAGAGTAGTCGTCAACGACCACCAGAAAGAAACTCTCTCGCTCAGGGCCAGGGCGAGGGGCGGGGCCCCAGACGTCCAAGTGGAGAGTCTCGAAGGGCTCGGTGGCCGGACGAAGGGAGGAGGAGTGAGGGGTGGCGCCAGCCGACCCTCGACGCAGGGACCACAAGGTGGTGCAAGCGAAGGCGGCAGCGACGGCAAGACTCGCGGGAGGCCTAAGAGAAGACGCTGACTAGACATAGCGCGCAGGCGAGGAATGGACGGGTGCCCCATCCGGTGGTGCCACAGAACGGTGGGGTGGGCAAGTGACCGGCAGGAGCAAGACGCAGCAACTGGACCAGACACGGGAACCTGGCCAGACACAGCTCCCTGGTGAGAAGCGGCAACCTGGTGAGACGGGGGGACCTGACGGGGGGCAGTGACAGTGGTCGGGGGCAGTAGGTGCTGCTGCTGCTGCTGCTGCCGAGGGCCAGTGTGAAGTGTGTAGAGACAAGAGCCCGGCTTATCTGACAGATTATCAGTGTAGGATTTCTGGCTACCCTGATTATCAGTGTGACCTGTGTCAGTTACTTTTAGCCATCAGGGTAATCATAATTTTCTAAAATCAAATATTTTAAGCAAAAGTGTGAATTGTTTCATTACCCTGATGTAATTGTGAGTGTTATTGAACTGTCGTTTGGTCTCACTATAACTTGAAGAGTCGTTGAGTTATAGCAGCAGCGAGGCATCACTGCTGTGTGCGTAGGTGTTCGAGGGCGGAACACCCCACCTCAGCTACACTGATGCGGCATGCCGTACAGTACGTCCTTACTGTACACTGCACACAGCTGTACACTACCAAGGTACCGACGCGGTGCCTAGAGGACCAATGGGCGCCGCCGACACGCTGTCTGAACCATTGCTGTAAGTGGTCCCCCTATGTGTTGGCAGGTGAAGACAAGAATCGTATGTAAGTCAAGACACGAACCCCTACCGGCCAAGACACGTGTCTCTCATTGTGCATTTGAGTCCCCCAAGGTTGCCTTGTGCATTGGGACTGCAAGTGATTTTTGCATTTCGTCTAGTTCGTGGGGTTTCGCCACGCCCATCGAGGGTTTATAAAAAACACAGATTGTTACTGGTTTGTTTTTACCGAAACAGTATGGGGTTGCTCCTTTTGTTCCATATGTGTAGATGTAGTTACCACTTCGGTTTCTCATTGCTGTATCGCCCGATTACATGTGACAACCCAACCACTCACAAACATAGACATGTGACAACCCAACAACGTCCAATGTGTTATTGCTCTCCCGGGCCAATCACAGCTTGACAATTGGGACACTCAAAACAACACCATTCATCGCTGACATTGCACCAATGTCAGTGAGATGTTGACATTGGTACCAGGCAGGAGGGCAGAACCAACTCCTCAGAGAGGAGTCTGCAGCATTTACAGACGCACTCACTCAGCTGCGTCAATGAAGCCGTCCATGACGGCAGTAGCACCGTCGTCAATGAGCTCCTGGTGGGGAGAGGGCGCCGTCATCCACGCAGGGAGGACGCGGCCGCGGGGACGAGGGTGCGCGCCATCTGGGTTGGCGGAAGGCCGGGGAGTGGCGATCGGCATCGTGTTGAGGTTGAGAGGCGGGCTTGCCCGCTCCATGCGCTCGATGATAATCGGGTCGCGAATTTCAAACAGAGCGCACAGCTCGCAGGGGGTGATGCATGTCGCGCGCGCATATCCGATGAGCATTTCACATGCCGCCCTTGCCGTGCGACGTGCTTCGCGTGTCGCCGGGTCCACATCGTCGTACACCGCCTGCATGGTCGCGGTCGCTTCCCAAGACTGCGCCGAATACGCCGAGGCGGGCTTGATGGCGAGGGGATCCTCGCCCGGTTCGGCGCATGTCGGCTGCCCGTCATCAATCGCGACGAAGTCGGCGGCCGGCATTGCACCCGGACCGAGTCCAAGCCGGTCGATCAAAATGCCCACGTCGCCGATCTCCTTGTCGAGATCGATGGCGAGCGGAGTATTGCCCGTACCGCTAGCGGTGAGTCTTGCGGCGCCCACGTGGGCCAAGGATAAGGCCCAAGCGAGCGGGAGACAGCCCGTGCGCCACCAGCAACGCTGGATGGTGCGCGGGCCGATGTTCATCCACGCGTCCAAGAGCCAATTGAGGACGTTGCGGAGGTTGGGCTTGTAGCGCGCCAGAGCCGTTGTGGCGCCGGCTTCCACCGACAGCGCCGTCACCGCCTCGAGCTAGTGCTGGCGGTACCGAGCCTTCATCATCGCGATGAGGCCCTGGTCCAGCGGCTGGGTGAAACAGGTGGTGTTCGGCGGAAGGAACACCAGCCTGATGTTGCGCAGGGACCGGGTGCGGAAGCCGAAGATGTCCACGGACTCGGCGTGCTCACTTTTGAGCACATGGCTGGAAGCATTGTCGAGCAGAATGACAATGTTCTGATCTTCCGCGAACATAGCAGCATCTAGCTGCTCCATGAAGTGCGTCAAAATCTGCCAAGGAAACGGGGATGGGCGGGAAAACAACCGTGAGTAAGCATGCGGACTTGGCATTCTCAACAGAGATATCGCCCGTCCCCCATGGATCGGAATACCACCTGCGGGAATGAAGTAACATCCCGCATAGTCATGTAAACGACATGAAGAATACTCACCGCCGCGGTCATCCACCCCTTCGCGTTGTGGCGCCAGTAACAAACGGAATCGGGGTCGTAATCCGGACGGAAGGCATGCGGGCGCTTCGACTTGGAGATGACGAGCGGGCGGAACGCGTGGCTTCCGTCCGCGTTCACGAGAAGTCCGACGGTGAGACGTTCCTTGGCGATTTTGCGGCCCGCCAAACGCGCACCGCCGTAGCTCTTCCGCGGAAGGACTGAAATCCACAACGCCGTCTCGTCAAAACTATACACGTCGCGTAGCGAGACGGAAAGATACATGAGAAGTTGGGGGAGCTTCTCCCTGCACGTGCGCACCGCCGCCATATCTTGATCGGCGGCCTCGCCGGTAGCGGCAATGCAGCAGATGCCATTGCGCCGCATAGCACGGCGAACCCACCTGACAGAGCAGCGGAAAGATTGTGGCTTGCCCATGTCGCGTGCCATCACCGCCACGTGGTAGCGGATCGTCGACAAGGTGAGCGGGATCCCCGCAGGTCCGGCATTGGATACCCAGCGGACCATGGCACGCTCGAGGTCCGGATGAGCACCGCCGCGCTTGCGGACGGTATTGTTAGAAGCAGACGCGGCATTCCAGCGTTCAACACCCTTGAGAACGCGTCCGATAGTGGAACGGTCGGGCCGAATACCAAAACGGGTGAAACACCAGCGCGCAAAGTCGACATGGCGCAAAAGCGGGTTGCTAACATGCTGCTCGCATATTGCTCTCTTGATGTGAACGGGGAGCTGCGAGCGGCAGAGAAGGCGCGGCATGGTGAATGGCGACTGTGAAGACTATGAGTTACTAGTTCGAGTGCGTGGCATTTTATCCTCACATAGAGTCGCTCGATGAGCGCGTAGAAATTTGTGTTGAAACGAGTAAACTGGGCCAACCCAACATTGATGGAGTGAATGTGGCCTCAATGGTGCGTGTAATAGACATGGGTTACCAGGGACCACACAGGGTGACGTGTGTTTAACGATCAGGGTTCGTTAAATGTGTCTGTATCCATTAGTTGTGGAGTGAATGTTGCCACCAATGTGTTTTTAACGGGCCCAGGTAACCAATTCAGTCCGTTTGGTGATGTGTGTCATCTGTTCACTTGGTCAACGAATACGTGTCTATTTCGTGCCCGAGCAACCTACACGTGGCAAAGAGGAGTGCGCCGTGTGCGTTTGGAGCACGTTGACCCGCACCGACGTGGCGTACAGTCACGTGCGAAGAAGTGCGCGACGTCATTTTCGTTTCGACCACAGTTTTCGCGATGCCTGTTTTTGGCCTAAAAACAAGGATGTCCAGGGGCGACCAACTTTGACTCATACGCATGTGTTGCTTTCGTCGTGAGGTCACCACTTGCACAAGTGGCACAGGGGGTCTATAATGTGGGTGCAACTGGCTGGCCTGAAAAACACGCGTGCAAACTTTCTGGCGCGTGCAGGGCAAATTCGCGGGCAGCAGTTGAGCAACATGTGTTGCCAACACACGTTCATTCGATTCGTGGCTAAATCTTCGTTATCTTCCTAGAGTATTTCCGCTAGTCTAGCGACTCTTTATTTCAACAGGGTACATGGCGGTGGGGGAGGGGGCACCCAGTGAAAGTGCCCTATACTCGCTTTAGGGTAAACCTCACTAACAGGACAAGTTACTTTTACGCTAAAGTGTACCCGAAATGGAAACCCTGCTTGATCAGGGAAAATGTAAAAAAAAAAAAACAACGCCAAAGTGTGACCCTAAAAATTCACCCTGATTATCAGGGTATCAGGGTAGTTTACCCTGATAAAATAAGCCCTCTACCAGAGCTACTTTTCTAGCTTACCTTACTTCTCGGGGGTAGTTTAGAGGCACGGGTGTGACTAGCACCGTAGGCTACAAAGCGGTTGGCTGTAAAGTTTATTAAATTAAACTTGCCCGACTTCGATAGCTTTTGCGCTTGCACTATTGCCGGATAGTCACGGATACGCCATTGCCCTCTAGACGTAGCTTGTGACTCGTGGACCAGGCGGCTTTCGATCGAGTCGTGGACCAGGCAGCTTTCGGTCGACTCATGCAGCAAGTGGCGGAGATGAGGCAACCCACAAGCTCTGCGTAGTGACCTCTAGGCTCAATAGGCTCATCAGGAATAGGAGCAATGAGTCTATGGACAACAGCAAGAGGAGTGGGTTGTGTGGTGGAGAATTGAAGCTCGAAATGCTAAAGGACCTGCTGCATCATGTGTGATGGAGTTAGAGTGACGGTGCGAGCGGCTCTGTCCTTGGTGATCTGCAAGCCAAGGTTATAGTGAGTGCAGCTCATAGTCTTGCTGTGATGCGACGTGTTATAGCACCCAAAGAGTGGTCATCTTTAGGGTGGGGGAGAAGGTGTGAAAGAAGTCTAGTCCCTCACATTCTGAAGTCTTTAGCCATATAACATACCTTGAAGACAGGCGGCAATCCAGGTGGCTGCTTCACCTTGAAGATCCATATGCTATCGACTACGTTCGCCCCAAGAGGTGGGGACATGTAGGTGGGGAGTGTCCGCGTGCACGAAGCATCACGTGCTCACAAATGCGCTATTGAGAACAAGCTTAATATGGAGGAGGTGGAGCAGCGTCAACGAAGAATTGAGGCCTTAATCTAAACGGACGCGTTCACACGACACGCCCTTCGTTGCTTGAAGGTGGTGCAGTATATCTCCAAGTCGGAAGCTCCAATCGTGTTGTACACCCAGATGTGCTAGTGGCTTGCCACTAAGGATTTGCCAGACCTCCTTGCTCCTAGCACATACGGGACCTACTATACTGAGTAAGAACCGTTAGAGGTCACTGTCTTTGCACTCCGCATTACCACTTCACCCACAATATTATTCTGCCTCAAATAGTATTTACCTATGCAACTCTCTACCCCACTTCACCTTTTCCCCTCATCTCCCTTTCTCCCTTCCTACTCTTCACCTCAACCCCACCCCTCTCCACCCTGTTCATAACCTTGGGTGTATGCAGTTACGCATTCCGTGAATTCATCAGTGCTCTCAGCTGGTACCTTGGAGTGCATCAGATGCGATCTGCCCACACATTTCCCTATGTTGGGATTAGCGTGGATGAGAGCACAGACTGAGCGAGAGATAAACACATTATTGTTTACCTGACATTAATGCACAGCGGAGAGGTGACGACGGAGTTCAATGCGCTTCTGACGGTTGAGAAGTGCAACGCCGGTGCATTGTACGGGGCGCTAACAACTCACTTGGCAGAAATTGGGCTGGACTTTAACAACATCATCGGTATTAGTACCGACGGAGCCTCTGTGATGATCGGTCCACTCACCGGTCTAGGGGCGCGTCTGCGTAGAAGGGCACCACACCTGTTTTCCACCCATTGCATTGCGCATAGGTAAGCGATTATAACAAGTTGCATGTCAGTCCTTCCATCAGTCACCCGTTTCATCACGTACCCGATCCTTCCCTTCTCCTTCTTCTACTCTCGTCCCTTCTCTCTTTGCTCTTATCCTCCCTTTGCCTCGAATGCCCCAATCCTGGTTGCTTGTCTATGCAAATATCGTCCCTACTCTATATGCCCATGTCCTCCCCTCCCTTTCATCATAACCCCGCCCATCCGCGTATACCCACGTTTCACCTTCCGTAGATTCACCTCCCTGATTGCCACCTCCCTCTCTTTACTCACAACGCCCCCCGCCCTCTCATCTTCTCCCTTCTTTCCCTCCCTCTGAAGCATGGCCCTGTGACGAGCGTGCCTCACTTCTCATTAAATCCCGTTTCTGCCCTAACCTTCAACTCTCTGTCCCATCTCCCTTTCTCCCTTCCCACTCTTCCCCTCAACCCAACCTCTCTTCACCCTTCCTCCCTTCCCTCTCTGTCCTTCTGCTCCCTATCCTCTGTGCATTCTCCAACCCTCCCTATGTGGCAAGGAAGCACTTGCTGCTCAAGATGACTCGAAGGACGCCCTTGACCTGCTGATCATGGATGCTGTCATCCGAGGTGTCGCTAGGGAGCTGGGGAAAAAGCATATGTGGCACCAACGGTTTCTGAAGCTTCAAGAAGAAATCTGCAACACAAACCTGGAGCTCCACTAGATTCACGCAGTCTACTGGCTCTCCCGTGGCACTGATGTTGCTCGTTTCGCCGATGTGTTCTCTCATGTCGTTTTTCTTCTCAAGGAGAAAGGGCATGAGCTCTTGGAGGCTATGACCGCATTCATGTTCCATTTCCTGCTCTACATTCGGGCTGAAGTTCTGGGCCTTCTCAACGCCTTGAACAGGGTGTTCGAGCTACCTGTGGTGAGTTAAACGCAGTGTGAGTTTTGGTTTTTTTTGTTGTACTTGTCACGTGCCTCCAAATTAACGCTGATTTTTGCTTCTCGCGGCAGGTAGACCCAACCACGGTCTATGATCATGTGGACAGTATCTGTATGACACTGCAGCTCAACTGCACCGTGTCGTGTTTGGCAACCGCCAAAGCCCTCGCCTCTCCCGCTTCTTGGATGAGCAATTAGACCATGAGAAGCGGATGATGCGATACGAGGGGATGGATGCCGATGGAAATGGCATCGGATTTAGCGCGGAGCTGCACGAGCGTCCAGGTCTCTCTCGGTCACCTAGACGGTTGCGTTGGCCTAGGACAGTTGTACGTGAGGGAGACTATGATGGGACTGCGCCGGAGGCTTGGGGATCTCCGCCAGTTTGTTGGAGGAAATGTACCATGGCCAGCTTCCAGGTAGGCTCCTTATAGTCCCTAACCCTTGTTTGATGATGTTGTCCTTGTCTTTCTAATTGGTCAGGTTTGCAATGATCATATTTGTATTCCAATGCTCTATCTTAGTGTATTTAAACCCTCTGTTTCTTGCTCACATGTGTCTTGTTTGAGTAATGCGAGAGGGAGTTGCGGCTCTTCATGATGATTCTGGAGAGCAGGAACTCTGGCCAGACGTTCCACTAAGCCCTTGGAAACATGCTGCAAACTGAGTGGCAGGAGGAGTACCCGAACCTTATGAACTTGTGGTTGTGCTGCCGCTGAGCACAGTTTGAATGTGAGCAAGGTTTTTCGAAGCATAACCTGATCAAGTCATGGACCCGCACTGCTCTTGCTGACATCCGCCTAGAGGAGCTCATGGTGGTGTCCATGCTTGACTTCCCCATCCAGTGGGTGGACGTCTTTCTTGGGTGGAAGAAGCGCAAGCCCGCCAAGGACTATGGTAATCGCAACAAGAAGCGTGTGGAGGAGGCAGAAGCATCGTAGAAAATGCACTTAAACGCAGTGAATGCAATAAGTCATTGGATGCTTGCTAGAAATTTTGAACATGAAGAATGCACCTGATGCTGCAAACCATGTTAGAATAGTTGTACTAATTATGAGTAGATAGTTGTAGTGATTATTGTTTATGCTTGTTATCGAATCTATGCATACTAGAGTCAGAGGCCGAGTAGCGCCGAAAGTAACATTGCAAAATAGGGTCCTCGAAAAAATCACCCAGCCACAAATCAGGTTTGGCAAACAACACACTACCACTGCCCTAATTTTGCCGTGCGCCACC